GCTTTGAACATCAAATATGATTTAAATAAGAAATGTCAAAGATTACCTAGTCTAACCTTTGCAGAGAAGCTAATAAAAAAGCACAGTTAAAAAATGGAATTTAAAGCAAACTAAAAATTGATAAACTAATTTTGGAGCAGAATAATATTTACCTATCAGTTAAAATCTCGGCCAAAAGCAAAACGATTTCTAAATTAACTTGACATTTCTTATGTAGTTGGAGCTCCTGGATAGTTATAGCCTACAGTCATAGAACACGTACCAAGGCTGTGACGAACAGATCGTATCTGACCTCAATGAGAGCATGTGTGTATGTAAATATTCTCACACACACACACACACACACACACACACACACACACACACACACACACACACACACTGATAGGTATACATAGTCTGAGTCTTTTCAAGTTAAAAGAAAATCAGAACAGTCAATCCCTTCATCCAATGCTATAGAGTACACACTACTTTTTATGATTAAGAACAGCCATAGTACCCTTCCTTAAAATGTTTCTACCCTCCAGACAGGCAGTGGTAGTATATGCCTTTAATCCCAGACTTGGGAAATCAAGGCAGGTAGATCTCTGAGTTCAAGGCCAGCCTGGTCCACTGAGTGGGTTCCAGAATAGCAGAGCTACAGACAAACCTTCTCTAAAACAAAAAACAAAATAGATGTTCCTATTCTCACCACATTCAATTAGGTATTATCAAACAAATACACAATAATCCAATTTTAAGTAGGAAAATAAACAGTTTGGTAAAGCAGTAGTATTTTGGATTTATGACAGAGCCGGGGGTTAGAAGTAAATCCAGAGTTCCTTCTATTATTATTATAAAACAAATAAAAGGAAGACATCCTACATACATGGGGTTCCCTAAAAACAGTAATTTTCTTTGATTTGAGAATACCATGAACAATGCACTAAGGCGAAGCAGAGAATTCACCTGTCATCTAAATCATTGCTTAAGCCACAAAAAATTAAGTTTAGCCTCTACAAGACAACAAGGATAAAAGGGGTTATTATTTTCAGCCACATTACTACAACTATATTGGTTTAGATTTTATTAATTATATTTACTAACTTCAAAATTTCACAAGTGATTTGTATATGCAAGAAATTAAGAATTCTCTGCAAATTCATATAAAGCAATTAACTCTTCAGCTTTACTTGTAAGTAGTTTAATATAATAATGCAGACTCAAAAATCTATAAAAATAGGAATCTACTTACCAGGTTCTCTAGTAAACTCCCAAGCACTCCAGTGAACTCTCAGGCAGTATTTAAAATCCATACTTCTTATTTATAATTTTCCAGTACAGAACTAACATTTAACTAAGAAGATGATTTTATTCAAAACAGCACGCAGAATCAGAACTAAACAGTAATATATGAGAAAATTCAAATCTTAATGCCCCACTTAGACCTACTGAGTAAGAATCAAAAATTCAAGTGACCAAGTGTTTTTAAGGAGCTCTGGTACCTAACAGAATATTTATACTGAATTCAAAAGGCACCACCTTTCTTTTTACAAAATGTAAAACTTAGCATTACTGTGTACATGTGCACATTATATGTGGGCCTGTGCCTCTGTTCCTGTGTGGAGGACAAGGCACAACTGGAGTTGATTCTCTCACCTTCACATGGGTTTCGGAACTGAACTAGGGTTGCCGGGCATGTGTTACAAAGCACCTTTACCCGCTGAGCCTTCTTCCTGACCCTCCACCTTACAAAATAGCATCTGGGAATATAAAATAAGCACTTTGGCATTGAAGGTGAAGAACCAGAGGTTCTCTTTCCTTCATAAAACTAATTTTATACACAACTGAATTTAGTTACATGTGTGATAGTTTGTAGAACATCTCTTAGTCAAGAGATTGATGTCAAAAAACATGAATGAATGAATCCCATATAACCTTGAGGACTAGACCTCTTCAAAATTAATAAAAGGCCAGAAGAAAATCTAAAACTTGTGCTCTAAACTCTGAATGCAGGAAAAGTGGACCAATAATTTAGCATGAAAGATGGACAGATCTTGGTTACAGATAATCAGAATACACGAGGGGAAGAGGGAATGCCTAGGATCCAAAGCATAAGGGAGTCAAATGTACTGGGGTAATAAGGTAGACCATACCTAACACAGAATGGTGAATAAAAGTGGGATGGTTTGAAACTGTTCATCTCCACAATACAACATTTCTAGACACAAAAGAATGTCTTCTGGATGGAGAATTTATACTTAGCGCTCTACCACATTTAATTCTAATCTTAATCTTTTATTTAAAAAAAATCACCAGCACTCTTAAAACTAATAAAATTCTCAAATGTCCAAAGATGACAATACATCAAAGCCGTATGTCCCCAACTGAGGTGATTCTGTGAGAGTCTTTAAACTTCAATGTGCCTGCCTTTAAACTTCAAGGAACTGCTATATTGTGATCACTATAAAATTCTGAAACTATAATATTGCCTCAGTTAAAAAGACTTGGGGTTTCAAACTTCAAGGGGAACTGGAGAGATGATTCAGCAGCTTAGAGTACTGGCTGTTTTTTCAGAAGAATTAGGTTCAATTCTAGCACTTACATGGTGGCTCACAACTGTCTCTAACTCCAGTTCTAGGGATCTGATGCCCTCTTCTGGCCTCTGATGGCACCAGGTAGGCAAGTGGTACATAGACATACACGATGGCAAAACACTCATACATATAAACTAACTGCTACTGTTCACTTAAGATATTTTAAACAATCCACGTCCATGAGAAAATAATATAAAGAGGTATTACTGAACACCAATGTAGCTAACCTCGTTTTTACAGACCTTCTATCCGTTGATATTTAATACTTAAATTGGAAAATCCTGAAAATTATTTCCTCTATCTAAAAATATTTAATAATAATTTCATAAGCACATCTATTATCATGTACTAGCTTCCTGAATTTGGGAGATTTTGGCTTTAATTCTTGCCCAGGTGTGAAGGCAAAGTCTCTAGCAGAGACTTGTTCAAGGTAGGGTCTCATGATGTGCTCAGGCTTATCAAATTATTTTTCTCCTGCATCCACAAGTTTGGATTACAGGTACCTGTCACCATGCCCAGTTATTTTATAACTTTTTCAGTAACGATTTGACTCCTCTAGTAACACCAAATGTAGTGATTCTGTTTTCTTTCTTTATTCCCACTTTGTGTCATTTCCCCTCCTCCTTCTCCCCTCACCGTCGCTTCAGTCCCTCTCTGATGGAGTCTCTGGCTGACCTGGAACTCAGAGATCCTCTTACCTCTGCCTGAGTGCACTGCCACACCCACACCGAGCTCCCTTTATGTCATTACATCACTTGCCACTCTACACTAGCAGCTATTTCACATGCTTTAACAGCAGCTCTAAATAGTCTTTCATTTCGAACGTGTAGGTATCCATAGAGAGCAAGAAAGATTAGCTTCATGTTAAACAATTTTCAATGTATCATCAACCTAGTTTGTATACCTTACTGATAATTTCCCCACAAACAAAGAGACCAACTAAAACAATGTGAAAATATTCATACATGACAACACAAAACACTTAGTATTTCAATCAAGTGTTTCTTTCAGTTAACATTCTTAAGAGAACTTGTCCTTAATAATGCTACAGCTGGGCCGGGTGGTGGTGGCGCACACCTTTAATCCCAGCACTTGGGAGGCAGACGCAGCCAGATCTCTGTGAGTTCAAGACCAGCCTGGTCTACAAGAGCTAGTTGCAGGACAGTTTCCAAAGCCACAGAGAAACCCTGTCTCAAAAAATGCCAACACTAAGCAGATAGATGCAGGTAATCTGTGTAAACTCGAGACAAGCTTGGTCTACACAGCAAGTTGCAAGTTCCAGGACAGCTAAGGCTACACAGAGAAACTCTGTTTCAGAGAGGAAACAAACAAACAAACAAACAAACCTACAACTTAGGGGCTAGAGCAGTTAACAGCACTAGCTATTCTCCCAGAGGACATGGTTTCAATTCCCAGCACCCACACAGCAAGCAGCTTGTAACTAACTGCCTGTAACTTCAGTTCCAGGGTTGTAATCCCCTCTTCAGACAAATGAGGGCACCAGGTGCACATGTGGTACATAGACACACATTTAGGCAAAGCACTCATATATAAGAGCATATAAAATAAAAATTAATAAGTCTTAAAGAGAGAGAGCTACAACTTAGGAAGAAAGAGAGTATCATTAAACCATTTACCCTTTTAAATAACACTGTGATCAAACACTGTTAGGAATGGAGCCTAAGCAACGTAGGTGGTAACATAAGGCAACCTCTGATCTTGAAGCATTCAAAAGTCACTGTCAGGGTTACGACTTTATCTGTCATCCAACCAAAAACTACTTTCTTGTGTCTGTCACACATGACTTACTGCTTAAGTGGTAGATATACCTACCCCTAAACAGGACAAAGTCCCTGTCACATAACTCACTGTTTTAAGTGGTAGAGAGTACACCACATAGCAGAACAAAGTCCCTCTCTTGTGAAGTCTCTATTATGGTAAAGAGAGACAAGGAAACAAACATGTGCCAGGAGAATTTAAAGGAAAAAATGCTGATGCAGTAACTCATAGCAATAACCCATTGTATAAGAAACAGGTAGCAAGACTGTAGTGAGTTCAAAGACTGCCTCAGGTTCATACCAATCAGGGCTACAGCATGAGACCCAATTTGGAAACACAAAGGAATTGCAAGGAGACGAGACTGGCGCATCCTAGGTCTTTCTGGCTCGCCAATGTCAGCCACTTCATTGGTTCTAGACTAAGGAGAACTCTGTCTCAGAAAAAAGAGAGAGAGAAAAAAAAAAGAGGGGGGGTAATAGGGTGTTTCAAGAGAAACACCTGAGGTTGTCTTCTCATCTCTACATACATTCATGGAATTTTGAAGTTACAAGATGAAAAGACAAACCAGTTTATTTATTCAGCACAAATATACACACAGAGTGATACAAACCAAGAGCTGTGTCTACCAGAAGACTGCATTCTTACCTGCTCAATTTCTTTGGTTTTTGATGCAATGGCTTTAGAACGACTGCTAATCTGGCTGTCTTCATACAATTCTGTGCCATCTGTTGTGTTTGACTCGGGTTCTTCTGTCTGGTCGATAAATAAGGGTGCCATGGATCCCGTCTTGAAAACAGAGGAAGTCCTTTGTTATTTTCTTAAAGGACATAAGAGAATTTTCGAGATAGCATATGTGGTCACTAACAGAAGATTATCTACAAAGAAGTGCTGTTTAATTAATTTTAAGAAGAGAAAATATATAATGTCATGATATGTAAAGAGCATATGTATGAAGGCTGGAAGATATGATTTCTACTTTTCTGAATTTTTGATGAGACTAAGCCTTACAACATTCTAAAATATAATAAATATACTAAATACTGAATAAGATACAGCTAAAAGGTTTTGTCCTATGGTTATTCCTTAAACATATATTCATGGAATATGGACAACATAAGAAGAAAAAAAAATCCGAATATGAATGAGAGCACAAGCTCACATAAAGGAGCACGGTAAGAGAAGGCATGGGAACACATGCCAACCTCATAAGATAAACACCTGTAACTTTATTCAAAACCATTAGAAAGGATGTGACAATACAGCAATGATTAGTTCCATTACAAACAATCCAATAGTGAGGAAGTAATTGAGATTAACCCCAAACAGTGATGGTGACTGCCTTCAATATGGGAAGTGTAGCCGGGAGTTGGTGGCGCACGCCTTTAATCCCAGCACTCGGGAGGCAGAGGCAGGCAGATCTCTGTGAGTTCGAGGCCAGCCTGGTCTACAGAGTGAGTTCCAGGACAGCCTCCAAAACAATACAGAGAGACCCTGTCTTGAAAAACCAAAAAAGAAAAAAAAAAGAATATGGGAAGTGTACATAATCATACTACGTTGTAATGTATGAAATTCTCAAAGAATAAAAAATGAATAAAAAAGTAAAAACAACAGCAACAGGGAGTATTAATGAAGAATAATATTGGTAATGGGGCATAAATACGATCAAAGAGTTATATATGAATGGAAATAATTTCATACAATTAATAAAAATTCTCCTTGTTTTACTCCTTAAAAATAATCATTAAATTTCTGAATTTAATGAACACAAAGTAAAAGTTTTAAATAAAGAGCTGGTTCTATTAAAAAATAAAAAGTAACAAGTACTTTGCCAGATTAAACAAGAGAAAGGAAAACCCAAATTAGTAAAACTAGAAATGAAAAGGGAAGCATACCAACAGATACCAAAGAAATTAAGAAATCATAAGGATATACTTTTTAAACTCTATTACATTAGCTACCTTGAGAGGTAGCTCAAGGGTTAGAAGCACTGAGTGCTCTTGCAGAGGACCTGGGTTCAATTCTTAGCATGCACATGGGACTTATAGTAATTCCAATCCCTAGGGATCCAACACCCACTTCTGACGTCTGCTGACACCACATACACACACACACACACACAAAACTGATACACATAAATAAAATAAACCCCCAATGTATTAAATTGAAAAAAGCTTTTCTAAAAAAGGATAAATTTCTAGATGCATACAAACAAAGATGAAATAAACAGCTGAAATGGATTCATTACCACAAAGGTCCATAACCAAATATACTCACCTCAGAATTCTACCATAATAGTAATACCACTAAAATTATCCCATAACATAGAGGGAAAAAAAGAAGTCTTCCAAACTGTTTTTTATGAAGTCAGAGTTACCATGATACTAACGCAAAAAAAAAAAAAAAAAAAAAAAAAAGGACAAAAAAATATCAGCTAATCAATAAGATGCCCTACAGGCTTATGTATGTTATGTGCCTGCTTGTCTGTATGATCACTGTCTGTGCAGTACCCAAGAATGCCAGAAAACAGCATTAACTAGAACTACAGATGCTTGTTAGCTACCATGTGTGTGCTAGGGACCCAACCTGGGTAAATTCTAACAATCAGCCACCTCTCCAGCTGTGGCCCACCCCTCAAACTCTTATTGTTCACAGATACTTTCAGTAAAGTTAACAGGATAAAAGGAATCTGAAACCTTGAACCTACTAGAGCAGTGGTCCCTAACCTTCTTAATGCTGCCACCTTTTAATACAGTTCCTCATGTTGTGGTGAACCCCAACCATAAAAGTAAGTTTCATTGCTACTTCATAACTGTAGTTTTGCTACTGTTATGATTTGTCATGCAAATATCTGTGTTTTTCTGATGGACTTAGGCAACCCGTTTGAAAAGGTTGTTTGACCTCCCAAAGGGGTCATGACCCACAGGTTGAGAACCGCTGTGGTAGAGGATAAAATAGGGAGTGCATGGTAACAAACATGGGTAAAGACTTTCTGCATAAGGAGTGCAGAAGATAAGGCCAAAAACTGACAAAGAAACACTTCCGTACAGCAAAGGAAACTGTCAAGGGGGTGAAGAATGGGAAAGAAATCTTTGCCAGCTGTAAATATAAAAGAGGCTGAGTATCTAGAACACACAAAACCTAAACATAAAGAAAAAATTCAATATTAAAATGAATATAAAGTTCTCAAAAGAAATCCAGTGACTAGTAAACACTTTCAGTACTCTTTTTGCTTTTGTTTTTTCAAGACATCATTTCTCTGTATAAGAGCTCTGATTGTACTAGAACTCGTTTTGTAGACCAGGCTGGCCTTAAACTCACAGGGATCTACCTGCCTCTGCCTCTCAAGTGCTGGGATTAAAGGTGTGTGCCACCACCTTCTGAACAGTACTCTTAATTATAAAGAAAATGCAGATGAAAACTACTCTAAGGTTCTATCTCACCCCAGTCAGAATGGCAACCAGCATCAAGAATACTAATGGCAAGAAATGTTAGTGTAGATGTGGAGAAAAGGGAATCCCTCTACACTGTTGATGGGACTGTAAACAAATAGCCATTTTATAAGTTGATCTGCAGCAGTCCTAAAAAAAAAAAAAGCCCAGCAAAACAAAAGCAACCCCCCAACCCCCCAAAAAACTAGATGCACTTCTCCTGGGTATAAATCTATCAAGGACTTTGTATCTTGTTCACTCTGTTCATTTAAAAGTTGGAATAAACCTAGTTACCCATCTACTTATGAGTAGATAATAAAAATGTTGTACACAGACACAAGTAAACATTACTCAACTGTAAAGAAAGGCAAAATCATACAATATGTAGGTAATGGAACTTGAAAAAATTATGCTGAGGTCACCCAGGTGACACAAGACAAATGCTCCTGCATGTTCTCTCTCACATGTGGGTCCAAGTTTCAAATCCTTTGCTTTGTGTGCTTAACCTGGAGTATATGTGAAAGTCAGGAAGCTGAGAAACAGGCCATTGGGGTACATTTAGACATAGGGACTAGAAGACGGGAGAAATGAAATAGAGGGAGAATGGTGGGAGGGGCAGCAGCAAAAAGGTACAGGCAATCAGAGGAATGAATGATGAGGGCAGACAAATGAGGGGACGGGAGGGGAAACCAAAATGAAGGTTCAACAACAAGCCAATGATATAACAAGCCAAGTAAAAGAACTCGAGGGGGGAATAGATTGCATGTGATATGAAAAACGGGGTTTGGGGATTTGGGGGACTAAAGGTTTAAACTAAGAGAGGGAAAGCGGATGGAGGAGGGAGTAAGTTAACTAAAACTAAGACTGTGTGAAAACTCCCACTAGTTTGCAAGCTAACTAAAAACAACAAAAAAGTAAAAGGAGTTTGAACAGACAATGCTGCTCCCCAAAGACAGTAATTATTATATAAAACTCTCAGTGCCAGCACAGGTTATCATCCCAGAGATGTTGAAAACATTCCATTGCTCTTGGTTGTGTACCATAATGAGATGGCTAGACCTGATTACTGAAGACACCATAAACTGGTTGTAGGACATAGAGAAATAAATCTTGAATTGATTAGAAAACTCACTCACAGAGCTCAAAGACGCTGTGCTGCCTGTTGGAAGCTGACATAAATAGTCTTACCGGGCACTGGATCTTGCATGGGCAGTATGTGCTCAAAGGCACAATATGTCAAGTCTGAATATGGGCACAAGCATTCTCTTAACTGGATTTCAGGAACATTCCACAGCAATGAATCCACACCTTATACAGCAAACTAAGTCAAAATCAACTCTGGGGAAGTCAGGCCCAGGGGGTAACCTATTAATGGTGTTTTGTTAAATGGTCATGTTTTCAAAGTGCCTTCTAAGAATCTGTGTTTATGCCCACAGATTTGTATTGCCCACCATCTTGATACAGAACCTGCTTATTGCAATGGGTAGTACTTAATGCAGACATTGGAACCTGCTCAGAGTGCTAGAATAAGCAACCGTGAGTGCACACCATACAGTGTTGAACATCTCTATGAACCTTCTCCCCAGGACTCAGGGAACATCTCCTAAGATGGCATAAGAAGAATAAAAAGCCAGAGGATGGGAGATAAGACTTGAAATGCTGTCTTCTGGACAAGATGACATAGTGTTACACACATGGACTCACAGCACCCAAATAAGATCTCCCGAAGGTCAAGATAGTCAAAATCCTGTCAGGGACAGAAGAGGGAACAAAAAGTCCCATTCCTAAAAGAGTTGATATTGGAAGCTGATAGCTGCTTAAAAAAACAGGGGGTGGGGAGAGTCAATTATCTTTGCCAATGGCCACTGGTGGGCTGTTCCTGTCTCAGTGGATGACCCATGTGCACATGAGAAGCCCTAACAGACTCAGTGGGTTTGAACAACAAAAGTAGAAGAACATAAAGCTGTGATGGATAAAGTTAGGAGATACGTTAGGGAAGCCCAGTTGTAGCTGGATTGGAGAGTAAGATTGGAAGAGATTGGAAGATATATATGATCAAGATACATTACACATATGTATGAAATTTTCAATGAAAAATAATAAAATTTAAAAGATACACTCAAAGGGAACTTTAGGAATGAGCTTTCTGCTCTTGATTGTCATGTGAAGAACAGATATTCTCCCCTCGAGAGTATGCAGCATTCAAGGCATCATGTTAGAAGTCAAGACCATGTGAGATACCAAGGTTAAAAGCATCTTGATATTAGGCTTCCCTGAATTCTTAACTGTAAAAAGTCCTGCTTTGTGTAAACTGCGCAGTCTCAGGCATCCTGGTTCAGCAGGACAAAAGTGAACACACCATCCTATATTCAAATAGATGAGAGTTTGGGAGTATAATGAACACATCACAGGTAACAGGAGATTTTGTGAAAAGCAAAAGTCAAGTAAGGAAAGAAGAATTGAGCTAGCAAATGGTAAGTGCTACCTCACAAGCTTGATGGTAAGTCTGACTCCTGCGTCCCACAGTGGAAGGAGAGAAGCAACTCCAAAAAGTTGTCCTCTGACCTCGACATATACTTAGTGACACACACACAGAGGAAAATCAGAAGACAAGAGAGACGGCTCAAGTCTGGCAACTGGAGTTTATATGAATGTGTCTTATGTGGACACAGATGAGCAGAGCATAGCCATATAAGTTAAAACTTCTACATATATTAATAATACCAAAAAATTGAGTAGACAAGAAATCAGTCTTGCTCCAAATTCGACCTCTGAAGTACAAGTATCTACTGTCAATATAAACACTATTAGTCTAAATTATTAAAATAATCAACATTAAGTAAATAATCCAATATTTCTCTTGTCTATGTGTCAACTATTTCTAAGTGCTAAGAATAACAGCTTGATACGTCTGATGTATTTACTTAAGAATACTAAAAATATCTGTTATTGCACCTAAAATAACAAGAAAATTTTAACATGCTTAACAGAAAATCACTATCTAAATGATGAGCCAGCATCGCTCCCGCCTCAACAAGCAAACCAACAAAAGGAAGAAAGTTCAGACATTCATAAACAAGTCTTTCTGGACTCCATGTCTACCTATCTGAATTATGCACATTATACAGTAGACACTTGGGAAAGCTTTTCTCATATTGAAGATATGGGTTAGTACACTGTTGTTATACAAATGTTTAATCTCATGTATCATAAAACCTTCCATGAGGATTGGAGATGTAACAGACAGGTGTCATGGAATATTAGTTTAGGATGTGCTTAATTTTTTTATGCTGTGGAATATTTGTTTAACGTTGCAAAGATGTATTTCATTATTTTATGTTGCATTTATTTAACTCTGTAAAGCTGTGTTACTTTGCCTGTGTAAAACACTTGATTGGTCTAATAAAGAGCTGAACTGCCAATAGCTAGGCGGGAGAGGGATAGGTAGGCTCACAAAAGCTGGCTAGAAACAAGGCAAGCTAAGGCTGGGCATTCATAAGTAAGAATAACTATGTGTATTTGAGAGCTGGGTGGAGGACCCTCAAAGTGTAAAACAATAACAAACAACAGATTTCATCCCCACGCAAAAGGTCTGGGAGGAACAAAGCAAAATTGAAAAAAAAAAAACCCTTCCATTCAGATCATCCAAAAACATACTTTTCACACTCCTACTTTGTGTAATAAATTCAACAATTCATAAATATTTTCTTTTCAAGTCCCTGTTGTTGAGGTACAAGAACAAAGCAAATACATTTTTTTCCCTCTTGTCTTTCTTTTTTTAAGGCAGGATCTCATGCATCCAAGGCTGTCCTCTGCCTGGGATGCTCTGATGATGACCTTGATGATTCTCTGTCTGCACCCCTAAATGCTGGGATTCCAGGTGTAGGGAACCACCCAGGACTTCCATTCAGTTTAAAATTCAGATGAAATGTTCAGGTGTGAAACGCAGAGATCAAATTAAATCATACCTCAAACTCGGAAATCTCAGTCAAGTTATTTTCATCTGCCTTCTCCGGCTTTTCATTAGCCCACTTGCTTGCAGCCTCAGCAAGTTCCTTCTCAGTTAGCTGGCTAGGTTTGTCTAACACCTATCAGAAATAAAGAGACATCTTGGTTAGCATTCTCAAAGCACAATGAACTGGGAAATTTCCCCTTTTCACCCTTCAAAACCATTCAGCAGAGAGCCATGCAAGACACCACGTGTGTATTGCTAGCACAAGGAAGGCTGAGGCAGGAGAAATGCAAGCACCGGGCTAGCCACAGCTTTAAGTAGCAAATCCTCTAGGACACATAAAGTACACATCACTCACAATGTCATTTATATAAAACTTCAATACCCCATCTAAAGGGCCAATGCAAACAACCTGACAAATACATACAAATTGACTAGGCAGTGGTAGCACACACCTTTAATCCTAGCACTCTCGAGGCAGAGGCAGGCAGATCTTTGTGAGCTTGAGGCTAGCCTAGTCTACAAAGTTGAATTCTAGGATAGGCTCTAAAGCTACATAGAGAAACCCTGTCTCAGGGGAAAAAACAAACAAACCAAACATCATATAGATGACAACTTTTAATCTTTTATTATGTTCAAATAAAATAAAACAATGGTTAAATTGTATTACAGTAAAGCCTTCTCAAAATGGATTTATTACTTATTTTTATGTGTATGTGGGTGTTTTTGCCTGCCTGTATGTCTGTGCTTCACATGGGATCCACTGCTCCAAGGTCAGAGCAAGGGCACTGGATCCACTGTAATTAGATTCACTGAAAATTATGAACCATGTAGTTAGAAGGAACCAAACTCTGGTCCTCAAAAGAGTAGCCAGTGCTTACTGCTGAGCCATCTCTCCACCCCTAATGTAAATTCTTAATGCACAAGGAAGGCCCAGATATGTCATCATTACAGTCTGGTAAATTATAAGTCACATTCCTTGCACAAGACTTTAAAGATTTAAATTTCTTTGTTTTGGCATAATGCTACTTTTCTCTGAACAAATACAACATAATCAAAGCATGGGCTTTGGAGCTACAGGCAGATCTCAGCATGCAGTAATAGCTTAATCACCTGTTAGATGGGACTTTCTTCCTTTTACAAAGCACTTGTGAGAATAAAGATAATGAGCGTAAAAAATATCTATAATAATATCTGGTACTTTATCTTTTCCATATTCACTGACATAAATTTATTCTACTGAGACTAAGTTGAAAAAGATGAGTGAGATCATGGAGGAAACAAAGACAAAGAAAGGTCTTTCAGGCTCACTCACAATCGCAATAAGGGCCTTTGCTGTGGACGAATGAGTGAAAATACAGCACAGATTCTAAAGTCTTTCCCCGAACCTTTATGAGGACATTCTGATTCCACCCTATTTCCTAGAACAACGTTCACCAACTAAGTCCCAGCACCCCATCTCTTCCCTAAGCGTGTGTCACTGATTACACACGTCTTCCTCCAGATGACAGTCTATGATGATCAATCTAGACCTCCAGCTTGAAGGGATATGGCATAAGAAATATGCCTGTTGGGTTCATAAGGCTGCTTTCAGTAAGGAATGACTGAGTGGGGAAGACTTGTGCTCATAGGGCCTTCAAACAGGTAGTCCATGTCTATGAAGAAGCTCAAGGAAAAGGTAATGCTGCAGCTGATGTCCTCCACGGACATCTGAGCCTGGTTTCTCTGGCCTTGCATGCCAGATTTACTATTAGCAACTTTCCAGTAATCTTTCAGGCCTTAACACTGGTCTGGAACCACTCAGGCATCCAGCCAAGAGGACTGAGCAGCTCAGGTCCTCAGCCTCTCTAGTGTGCTGCCAGTCACAGACTACCCAGCCCTATCATGTAAACCAAGGTAGTTCTCACTTACCCTTTTATAGTATGTACACATTGCACTACTTCTTTTATCCAATCCTCCAGTGAAAATAAACAAAAAGAGAAAACCACCTTGGCAGTACTGGTACACTGTTATGAATGAAGAACTTACACAAACCAAAGACTCTGTTAGAACTCCATGAAAAGGACCAGGGCAGGCCTCATCACCTCAAATGAGATACAAAACAAAGTAATTTGTCTAACCTCACTAATAAATACTGACAGAAAGGGGTATATGAGCAGCATCCATACCTGATTAAGCTAAAACCAAAGGGAAGGCTGGCCATGGGTTATATTTACCGTATGGGTTTATACAGCATTGTGAGGAAAAAGATATTTTGCTCCAAATACACTTGACTATTTTGAGTTAACTATTCAGAGAAACTGCAGGACTCTGTAAACCCAGGAATGGCTCCGAAAAGGTGCCTGTTGCTTTATAGCAAGAAATCAACCAAAGCAAAATGAGTAATTCTGTAAAAAGAGGCCTTTTCTCTAAGATACCAGTGACTGCCTAGGAAAGATTTTCACATGACAAACACTTAGCCTACAGAGAGGCCACCAAGTGGTCTTCAGAGATTTCCACCTGGGAAAACTGGTCTGCATAATATAGTTTTGGGGGCTAGAGAGATGGGTAAAATGACCAAGAGTGCATAGTACTCTTACAGAGGACCTGAATTTGGTTCCTAGCGCCCACATGCTTGGCTCATGAAATCACCTGTAACTACGGCTCCAGAGGGTTAGAAGCCGCTCATCAGTGACACTAGCACTTACGTGCACATACCCATACATGTATAATTAAAAAATAATCTTTTAAAAAAGAAAAAAGGCAGCCAGCAAAAGTCAACACTAAGCTCCCCTGCCTTTGCATGCTTCAGGACACAATATCAACGAGGGGCTAATGCTCTGTGTATGGCCCCCGTGTACATATACAAATTTTAAGATTTATTTCCTATAGATCTAGTATCAGCTCACATCAGACTAAAATTGTCAAGCCTTCAGGAGACAAAGAGAAAATGTGAAGCATACCTCCATAGTACAGCCAATAAATAAGGATTAAATCCCTCATTTCAATTCTCTACCTATACAGACAATTTTGTTTTTTATTCCTTAGGTTTGTTTGTTTTTAAGACTGCCTCAGCCAGGCAATGGTGGCGCATGTCTTTAATCCCAGCATTCAGGAGGCAGAGGCAGGTGGATCTCTGCGAGTTCGAGGCCAGCCTGGTCTACAGATCAAGTTCCAGGACAGCCTGCAAAACAATACAGAGAAACCCTGTCTCAGAAAAACAAAAACAAAACAAAACAAAAAGATAGTCTCAATCTGCAGCCAAGGTTAGTACATGCTTATGCAATTCCTTTGTCTCAGCCATCAAGTATTGGGATCATGGATATAAGATGCCTACCCAGAGCCAGGCATAATAGCGTATGTCTTTAATCCTAGTACTTGAGAGGCAGAGGCAGGTGGATCATTGAGTTCAAGGCCAGTCTGGTCTACAAAGCAAGTTCCACGACAGGCTGGAAAGCTACACAGAGAAGCTCTGTCTCAAATCCCCACACCAAAAACAAAACAAAATATATCCAAGAAAATAATGTATATTTAATTTCAAGAGAGTTATAAAGCAAAACCAAGCTAACAACTTAGGAGTTCTTGTAAAATGTAAAGAAACCCTACCATAGAAAAATTTCAATCTGTTCATCTGTGTGTGCGCACTATCACATGGAATTATTTTCTAATGGCTAAAAATAAACGGAAAAAATATACTCCCAAAGCCATAATGTTTGCAAGAAAGAGCCCTCAGTTGAGAAGGTAAACTAAGAACTCAGGAGGCTGATTCAGGATTAGCAAGACCAGCCTGAGCTACTACTTAGTAAAGCCCAATTTCAAAAACAAATTTTTCAAAGTGCTGGGTTTCTAGGGCTGGGAAAATATCTGTCAAACATGTGCAAGGGCAAGAGCCTCAGTCCACCCATGCCACAAAACACAACAAAAAACAACCTGACAGTACTGAACCCTCAGATTTCTAGAGATAGGATTTGTTGCAGAAAGGTTACTTTTTCCTCTCAGGCAGAGAAACTGCTGTCCCTGCAGATCAATGGCAGACTGACAGGCAGTAAGTATTTCTGCTAAAGTCAAAAACATTAAAAGAAAAACAAAACAAGACTCCCCTGCCTGCTGGAGCCTATGCAACCCAGTTTCCTGGTCTTCCCTCCACCCGCGGGACCATGTAAACTGGGCCCTGTATCTGGGCCTGCCTTTCACTGCCACTTAGCCTCCCCTCCTGGCAAGTACCTATGCACCCCAGTTTCCTGGTCTTCTTCTCCACCCAAGGGACCAGGACCAGGAAGAGGAGAACTACCAGAATATTGGACTTGTTTGTACCCACTGAAAGGGAACTCTGGTCCCCTAACCACCAGGCCAGGAAGAGACTCTTTCTTCACCCACTAGAAGAGGGGATGGGAAGAAGACAATACAAAACACACTCAGCAACAGAAAAACAAATAGGATACCACCAGATTATAGAGACTCTATACCAGCAAGATTCCAACATTCCAATGCAAATGAAGCAGAAGACAATGACCTTCAAAACAACTTCATGAAAATGATAGAGGCCCTCAAAGAGGATATGGGAAAATCCCTTAAAGAAATAGAAGGAAAAAAAAATCCAAAAAATGCAACAAATGGAGTAAAAGACAAAGCAAAAATTGCAAGAAACAATTCAAACAGTACAAGGGTTGAAAACTGTAATAGAGACAATAAAGAAAACACAGTCTGAAGGAAGGTTGGAAATAGAAAAGCTGGGCAAATGTTCAGGTACTACAGATGCAAGCATAACAGAATACAAGAGATGGAAGAGAGAATCTCAGGTATTGAAGATACACTAGGAGAAATATATTCATCGACCAAAGAAAATCTTAAGCCCAGCAAATCCCTACCACAAAATATCCAGGAAATATGGGACACCATGAAAAGACCAAACCTAGGAATAAGAAGCCACCTCATCAAAGGGACAGAAAATGTATTCAACAAAATCATAGAAGAAAACTCTGCTAAAAGAAAGACATGCCAATGAAGGTGCAAGAAGCTTACAGAACACCAAATAGAGTGGACCACAAAAAAAGTCCCCCTGCCACATAATAAACGCCCCAAACATACAGAATAAAGAAAGAATATTAAGAGCAGCTAAGGAAAAAGGCCAAGTAACATACATATAAGAATCACACCTGAATTCTCCATGGAAACTCTGAAAGCCAGAAGTTGCTGGATAGATATTCTACCAACACTAAGAGACCAAGGATACCCGCCCAGACTGCTTTACCCAGCAAAGTTTTCAATCACTATATATGGAGAAAACAAGATATTCCATGACAAAACCAGATTCAAACAATACATATCCACTAACCCAGCCATAAGGTAAGTTCTGGAAGGAAAACTCCGACCCAAGGAAGTTAACAACAACCAGAAAAACATAGGCAATAGATGATCCCACCTTATCAACAGCCAAAAGAAAAAAGGGTGTAAATCCACATATAATTTCACTACCACCAAACATTCCAAAACAAACAAGAATGAGCAATCAATGGTCATTAATATCCCTCAATATTAATGGTCTTAACTCGCCCATAAAAAGACACAGGCTAACAGAATGGATTCGAAGACAGTACTCATCCTTCTGCTGTATACAAGAAACACACCTCAGCCTCAAAGAGAGATACTACCTCAGAGTTAAAGATTGGAAAAAGATTTTCCAATCAAATGGACCCAAGAATTGCCACAAACAACATAAAATACCTTGGGGTAATGCTAACCAAACAAATGAAAAACCTGTATGTATCACAAGAACGTTGAGACTTTAAAGAAATAAATTAAAGAAGATACTAGAAAATGGAAGGATCTCCCATGCTCTTGGATAGGTAGGATCAATGTAGTAAAAATGGCAATCTTGCCAAAAGCAATCTACAGACTCAATGCAATCTCCATCAAAATCCCAGCACATTTCTTCACAGACCTTCAAAGAACACTTCTGAACTTTATATGGAAAAACAAAAGACCCAGGATAGCCAACACAACCCTGTTCAACAAAGCAATGTCTGGAGGCATCAGCATCCCTGACTTCAAGCTCTATTATAGAGCTATAGTCCTGAAAACAGCTTGGTCAAAAATAGACAGGTAGACCAATGGAATCAAATTGAACACCCCGATATTAACCCATACACATATGAACACCTGACCTTTGACAAAGAAGCTAAAATTATACAATGGAAAAAAGAAAGCATCTTCAACAAATGGTGCTGGCATAACTGGATGCTGGCATGTAGATGAATGTGGATAGATCCATGTCTATCGCCAAGTACAAAACTCATGAATCTAGCCACACTGAACCTCTTGGAAGAAAAAGTGGGAGGTACCCTTGTACAAAGTGGTACAGGAGACAGCTTCCTGAACATAACACCAGTAGCACAGACACTGAGGTCAACAATTAATAAATGGGACCTCCTGAAACCGAGAAGCTTCTGAAACTGGGAACTTCTGAAACTGAGAAGGCAAAGGACACAGTCAACAAGACAAAAAGGCAGCACACTGAATGGGAAAAGATATTCACTAACCCCACATTTGACAGAGGGCTAATCTCTAAAATTTACAAAGAACTCAAGAAGCAAGTCTCCAAAACATGAAAGGATCCAATTAAAAAATGGGCCACAGAACTAAATAGAGAATTCTCAATAGAGGAGTCTAAAATGGATGAGAGGCACTTTAAAAAGTGCTCAATATCCCTAGCCATCAGGGAAATGCAAATCAAAACAACTCTGAAATACCATCTTACTCCTGTCAGAATGGCTAAAATCAAACACACCAATGACAGTTTATGCTGGAGGGGATGTGGAGAAAGGGGAACACGCCTCCACTGCTGGTGGGAGTGCCAACTCATACAGCCACTTTGGAGAGCAGTATGGAGATTCCTTAGGAAAATGGGAATTAATCTACCACAAGACCCAGCAATTCCACTCTTAGTCATATATCCAAATGAGGCAAATTCATACAACAAGGGCATCTGCTCCACTATGTTCATAGCAGCATTATTTGTAATAGCCAGAACCTGGAAGCAACCTAGATACCCCTCAGCTGAAGAGTGGATAGAGAAAATGTGGTACATTTACACAATGGAGTACTACTCAGCAGGAAAAAAAAAACAATGGAATCTTGCAATTTGCAGGCAAATGAATGGCACTAGAAGAAACCATCCTGAGTGAGGTAACCCAGTCACAAAAAGACAAACATGGTATGTACTCACTCATATATGGGTTTTAGACATGGATCACGGGAGTGCCAAGCCTACAATCCCATTGCCAGAGAGTCTGGGAAACAGAACCTTCAGCCAATGACTGATGGAAGCAGGGGCAGACACCCATAGCTAAAACACTGAGCTGAACTCAAGGAACCCAGAGACAGAGAGAGAGGACTGATGAGCAAAGGAGTCAAGACTGAGCTAGTGAGACCCACAGAAACAGCTGACCTGACAAGGGGGAGCTCTTGAATCCCAGACTGATGGCTGGGAATCCAGCCTGGGACTGATCCAGATCCCCTGAATTTGGGTGTCAGTAAGGAGGCCTAGGTAATCTATGGGACCTTGGGTAGTAGATCAGTATTTAGCCCTGGCACACAAATGGACTTTGGATGCCCATCCCACAATGAGGGATGCTCTCTCAGCCTGGACTCTTGGGGGGGGGGGGGGGACCAGGCCCTGACCTGATGAAATGACAGACTATGGATACCCCCATGGAGGGGCTCACCCTCCCTGAGGAAAGGAGTGGGGATTGGGGGAGGGAGGGAGGGAAGCTGGTAGGAGGATATGGGAGGAGGAGAAGGAGAGGGACCTGGGATTGACATGTGTGAAGCACCCTAGTTTCTAATTTAAATTTAAAAATAAAATAAAGACATAAAAAATAAGTGGAAGAGTATCTGAAACAAGCTATGAGCAGGAGAAAGAACGAGGGCTGATAAATGTAAGTAAGTAAGCAAGTGAAGACACACGGCTCCATCTTTCCAACACAGTTTGAGATGCTGGCAAATAAGAAAAAAATGTATGTGAGAAACAGCTACCACTTGGAGGAAATCATGTGCTCGCATTTGGATATGGTGAAGATGAGAAAGGCTACAACAGCAAATACTAACCGTATCAACACCTATGGAAAAATATCAATGAGAAAAGTGATAATTTATTTTGGCCTGTGTAATATGATGTGATGACTTAAAATTCAAACTTTCAAATGAGTCCATTTAGTACTATGGTACACATAATATTTGTGCTGGGCAACCCATCATCTCTAGACTGTAGTTCTACCTAACCTTAGAGAAGTAACAAACCTTGGATGAAGAAACTGCTGAAGAACTTGAGGGTGAAGTATCTCTTGATGTTTTCAAAGACTGGATGGACCTCTCTTTACCTACATAACAACGGCAAGAAAGAATATAGAACATGAAACAAACTAGGATTTGATTTTCTAGCTTATGTGTTTCCAGTTGATAATTAGGAAACTCTAACACTGCAAGTTCTCATCACATTACTGTATAAACATCTAAATCTACCTCTCAGTAACACCACAAAATGTTAAAGTAACATAGAATAAAATAATACCATCTATGGTATCTACAGCACACCAATGCCAGCTGGTAAGTGTAATCATGGAAATGCTGAAAAGGGCAAAATACCTTTTTTAGAGGTTCCACAAACTTCCTTGCCACACCTAAGCAAGCTCTAGAGACTCAGGTTTCTAAACACCTTGGATGGTATTAAGCAACAATTCTTCCCAAAGTCCTGAAGACAAGAAGTCACCCTCCACACCAGTGGTTCTCAGCCAAGGGCAGTTTTGTTCTTCCCACCCTGACACTGGGCAGTATAGAAACCATGTTTTCTGTTGCTGAGAATCTAACATATCATAATACAAATGCACCAAATGTTATTACAGTTAGTATATAGATTCCATAGAGCAATCAGTTAAAAGGCAGTCCAAAGAGTATTATACACAGGAAATTTAGCAGATAGTCCTAAAACTTTCACACTATTTAAAAGAATTTAGAAATCCATTAATTTGAAGCACTGACAGAGAGGCTGGCATAAATGATGTTAACAATTGTTTTTGTTTAAAATAAACCTCTATAAGATAAAGTCACCATCATTAGTTATTTAAGATACTCACATAACGCTGCATGGGATCATTTTTAGTAGAAACATAAGCCAGAAATTATATGAACATCATTATGCTAGTAGGTTCAACAACCAAAAATTTATTTAATTATATTATCTTCTAGTTAGTTAATTAAAATGCTTTAATATCATATTATAAAAATTATAAAGTAAGCTGTTCCTGATTTTTAAAAAACCTTATTAATAACTTTCAACATACAACCGGTCCTATAATCTTAAGTTCTGGGAAACTAATCATATTAATGATACAAAGCTGCTTTAGAAAGTGGCCACACAAATGCTGCTAAAGCCTAGAAATGGGAGAGAGCCTGGGGAGCAGGCAATAGCAGAAGCAGACACCAAGTCACCTGCAGAGTGCAGCAAAGCCAGCTTTAATCAGAGGTTCCACAAGCTTCCTGACACAGCTAAGCAAGCTCTAGAGACTTAGGCTTCTAATCACCTCGGTATTAAACACCTGTCCCCAAGGCCATGAAGTCAAGGGGCCACTCTACACCAGTGGCTCTCAGTGTCAGTTTGTCCTTCCCACCCTGGCACTGGGCAATGTGTAAAGTGTAAAGACACTCTGTTTTCAGTGAGAGAGTATCACTGGCATATACACCACAGGCCTAAGATGCTGTGAAGAGTCTTCTATGGGGGATTAGTCCCACCCATCATCCTTAACAGAAATCATCCAGCTCCAATGTTGATGAAGCTGAGTGAGAAATCCCCACTCTTAAAATTAGTGTCCCAATTCTGAAGATTCAACAGGTTTTTGTAAAAGACAGAACCTAGACGCTTATGGTACCATAAGTTCCAGGCCACCCAAGACCGTATTACTGAAATAAATAAATTACTTGGGGGGGGGGGGACACAATACTGTTACAATCATCATGACATCGTCCAATAGGCAAGAACATAATTCAGCTATTCCTTACTGTGTTTCCCAATGCATGTGGCAAATTGTATGCTGAATTGTAAAGTCTATCCTACTGTCCAAAGATCTAGAGCATGGTTCTCAATCTGTGGGTCCAAACCCCTTTAGCAGGTAACGTATCAGACAGCCTGTATATCACATCTACATTACGACTCATAACAGCAGCAAAATAGTTATGAAGTAGCAACAAAATGCTTCTATGTTTGAGAGTCACCACAACATGAGGGACTGTAGTAAAGGGTCACAGCCTTAAGAAGGTTGATAACCACTGTCCTAGATGAACAAGTACCATGACTGTCGTCTCCACCCTATTCTGCTAACCAGTATAGCATAGGCTAAATAAAGGCATAATTACGTTAGGTAGCTAGTTGCATATGAGGTCAGAGGTCAGTCATTAGGGAAGAACCTCTCTTCAAACACAGCACATTGTAAAACAAAGAGCTGAAACTGGAAAACTCTGATTTTGGGTCAAAGAATGGCATCCTATCTCTGGCCCTGAATGGAGTCTTGACATTCTGACTATCCACACGGTCTGAAAGTCACTATGGAGCTAAAGGAGACAGACATATACCCTTTGTCCTCTTCCTTAAGAGTTAATCCAAATGGGCTTGTCAATCATTTGTGGAGGAAAACACCCTTCTAGGCAAACTTTCTGTCCTAGAGACCTTAGAAATACCAGGAAGATGTTTAAATATAGATGGGACAATGTTCCCTTTGGCCATTGGCCAGTCTTACACTTCAAGCATGTTCGTTTTAATTCTGTAATAAACTCCACATATTATCTAACATACTACCTTCTATGTGGTTGTTTCAACTGCTTTCAAGATCACAGGGATAGACCAGAACAAAATCCTGGTGCCAATTACATATGCAATTTTAGCATGCACTAGCTGGAACACAGGGAAAAAATAGCAGCAACACTGAGAGAAAAGATGACAACTCAACAGTTGCCAATCTCCAACTTTACGCTACAAACAGGACACTGCTATGATAGCTAGGCCAGCTGTGACCAAGCAGAATGTCAGAATCTTTCATGATTTCAAATCTCAATGGTTAACGTAAGCAGACACCAACCAATCTCGGTATGCAGAAGCAAAGGATGGCTGAAGGCAAAGAAATGTTTCTCACAAACACTCATTTATAGCTGTTTTATAGATGAGTGGACAAGCAAGAAGCGAGTGACAAAGACAAACAGAGACAACAGCAAAAACTACAACGTAAGTAGAAATCTCTAGCTCCCACTACCCACAGTCTCGTTTTATAGGCTCTATCCTCCTGGGGGGGGTCATTCCTAACTAGGAATGGGGGGCCCAGACAACCAACTAGCTGGCTGTACTGCTGTCCAACCCCTTAAAACTTCCCAGCCCTTAAATCCCAGACCACAACCTACTTCCAAACTCACCTCTTCCTGGATTTGCTTCATTCTGTCGTTTGTAGGAAGCACCAACATGCGCGGACTCTAGGGAAAGGTGGCAGGGAGGAGTTAACACCAGCACCTCTGTGCCTGGGAGGAGCAAGGTAAGACCCAAGAAGGAGGAGCCAAGAGAAGAGGTACTTCTGAGCATTTGCTGGTGATCTTAAACACCTCCAACCCCACTGCAAGCTGAGCTGCCCAAGCAGCCCTCACTGAAGAGAAACCAAAGCAGAGCAGTAAAGAAGCAAATTTCTGCACACTGCAGTGGTCACTCAGAGAACTAAAAGACAACAGTCTTTTACAGAAGAAATGTATATTATCTACATTAATAAACAGATGCAAAAAGATGCTTCATATGAGCCCCCATAAACTACCTAAAAACAGATCTAGTAAAAATATCTTACCACAGGAAAGGAGACTAGAGTTTAGCACCCCAATCAGACACCCACAGGCTGCCACCTATTCTGAGAGTAACCCAGAATTCACCCACAACTGTGCGTGTAATAAGAAAAGCTTTCTTTTCCCCATATCCAGCCATTCAAACACCCACAGCTTGCTAACATCTCCCCATCAGAAACCAGTAGTAACTTGCATTCAGAAATCCTCTAAGTTCAATATTGGGCCCTTCATGTGAACACGTCTTCCTGCAGGTCTCCTGTCAGTTTGTTTCTCAATTATAAACTACCAGAGAATACAGAAGGAAAAGACTGTAATTCCTCTATCAAGTTCAGCTAAGTTGAAGTGTAAGGAGGAGAACTAGCCAAGGATAACATGAGAGGATATATAAACACATGATGCACATAAAAATAGCATCGTTTGTCCATCCAAGAACCATAAGGTTCACATTCAAAGATCTGGTGCAGAAAGGATCACATACTCTAATATTGCAATACCTAAAACTTAATGATTCTCTTTACAAAGTCTCTCATACATGGATTTTCCTCAGTCAGACACAAATTTATGGCTACTATCCTGGCTGAACCCTTCATTATACTATATTTCGAATCTTAAAACACTGTTAGATTCTTATAGAGACAGAAAGACCAAAAATAAAGGGTCCCAATAAAGCGCAGAATCCTCTACTATTTAACAATCAGATGCTAGCTGCTTGGTGCTTAATGAAGCAAACTGTTATGAAATTCCTAATAACTCCTGAGCTCTTCCCCAAATAACCTGTCTTGTAATAATAAATCCCTCTATAGTAGCAGGATCTTGGGCTTGCCAACTTCTTATCTACCACAATGGCCCAGAAGGCAAGGTTGGGTAGCTTCTCTTCATCTCTATAGAATGATTTTCCTCTTGCACAACCACTGTGCTCCTGTCCACATTCTTTTCTACAACCCCGCTATCAACTCTGGCCTGATAAAATGCCCTTTCTCCTTGGCGTTTCTCACCCAGCAGAATACTTGGGTGGGATAGCTGGGGAGAGCACCACATGACTCCCTCAGAGTCTCTTGGTTGGGTGTTTGTGGTGCCAGGAGGAAATGGCCCCCAAAAGCAACTGAATAACTCTGACTGGATCATCTCTCCAGTGAGGTCCCAAGGCTTCTGGGCTGTAACGTGCTTTAAAATCAGAGCGCCACAGTCATCCCAGAAGAATGCTTGCACACACACCTCATCAAATCAAACACCACCCCCTCTCACTTCCCAGTGGAAGCTGCTTAAGTTTTATCAGGCCAAACATTGGGACGAAAGTCCTCCAATTTCTAGTTGAGCCTCTTTTCATTAGCAAGCAAATTTTTCAGAACTTGTGACAGATAAGACTGTCTTATCTGTAGCCAGGCCAATCCTGAGCAAAGGAGAATGTGTAGCTTCTGGGAAACAGATTTTTAATAGTCACCAGCTTTCACGTCCAATATAAGGTAGGAAATGGGTGTGTACGCTTCAAAATTAAGTATTATCTTCATGCAGCCTTATACTTTTCATCTACCAGGAAGGAAAGGAGATGTAATTCAGCTCTTAAAGATCGCTTAGTAAGCTTCCACTCAAGAATCAACATCACTGGCCCACTCTTTTGCAAATTAGAATCTTTACAATCTAGCATTATCCATATCTACAAGGCATCTCAGATTCTTACGGTAAGCCTTCCTGGGACAGTCCTCATAATTGACTCACATTTTCAGGGTAACCTCCTTATATTATTAACCCAGAGAATGGGTCTATCTTTAGACTTCTCATAGGATAAAACGCCAACCGCAGCTGTGTGCACCAGACCAATCAGTTCCTCCTAATGTGTCCAACTGAAATCAAGTTAAAAGGCCTGTCACTGTGGATGCCTCTGTCTAGAATTAAGATTGTTCCACTACACTTTTCAGCAACCTGAACAGACAAACATACTGGCACATCTATGTTTACTCCTGCACTATTCCCAAAGCCAGATAAGGAAACCAGCCTACACCTCTATCCAAAGATGGATGGATGGATGGATGGATGGATGGATGGATGGATGGATGAAGAAAGTATAGGACCTATGTGCAGTGAAACTGTATACAGATGCTAAAAAAGAAATCATAACATTTGAAAGAAAACAGGTGGAACTGGAAATCATTATGTCAAAGTATGTCAAACTCAAAAGAGGCAACTACCATAGAAAATGCAGAGAGAGAGAAGGTTGAGTACTGAGCATTAAATGGGACAGCCGTATCACACCCTGTCCTTCCAAAGCTCAGGAGAAAGACTGTAGGAGCCAGAGGTTTGGGAAGATTGCTGCAAAACACGTTTCCAGACACCAGGACCCTGACACACAAGAACTTTCACAAAACCTGCACAAGACCTCCAAAGCTCCAGTGGGGGAAGGGGTGTCACATCGATGGCTCTTCTTGATAGAAACACAATTTGACTGGCTGCTTCCAGTCCCTGTCATCTTGACTTCCCTAAGCAATGACTGAAACCTCAAGCTGTGCACTAAAAATAAGTCCCAATTCCTCTTAGTTGTTTTTCATCAGGGTATTTTATCACAAAAATGAAACTAAGGCACATGTTGTGTGATACACTGGATGTTATCAGGAGCAGTGTGCCATAGTGAGCCATCAGCCATGCTGATCACTAGGACCAACAGCTCAAAATGTAGGAGAATGTGTTTCTAAGCTATGAAGCTTAAATACATCACCACCTTTAAGACGTATTCAACTTATAACTGAAATTGGTGCCATTGTAAACCAAGGAGAACTTCCACTGATTGCACATACCAGGTATAAAGTGTTTGGCACCATGAGTGAAACTAAAAGCTGTAAACACAACTTAAATGCTTTGAAGAAATATTCATTAAGTCTTGTAAGGGTTTGATGGTATTTGATGACTCCTTGCATATACTAGCTAAGTATACATCTAATACAATCCTTCAAACAATACTTTCTTCCTGAGATAGGATTTCCTGCTAAAAGCAAAGATAAATGTAACCAGAGTCATCCACTTTAACAACCAATGTTCATTCTTGACAAATCACACGAGATCAAAGGACACTTTAGAAAATCAAAACCAGAAAACATCATTACAGATGATGAAGTTATGGGTTATGTCTTGCAAACTACTGTAACTCAGGGCAATGCTTAACAAGCACAGACATGTCAGATATATTTTAATTCAAGAAACAAACACCACAACACAGATACTATACTGAGTTACTTCGACAGTGGAAGCTTTAAAATGAAAATACAAAGGGACTTCACAGATGACAAGGAATTTTGTGAAATAATTACAAGAGAGATTTTAATGAGTGAAATAACCAGACTCAGAAGGACAAAAAAATTGCATATTTGCTCTTATCTGTGGAATCTACATTGCAGGGTATGAAAGCAGAAAGGGTACTACTTGGGAATAACAAGGGGATTACAAGATTGGAGACAAAGTGGGGCAGAAAAGAGTATGATTGAAGTGTGTTATAGACATGAATAAAAACGTTGTATAGTCAACATACACTGATTTAAAAAAAAGAAACATAAGGACTTTGAAGAATGGGTGTGAGACCAAACCTGATGGTTCTGCTAAACAAATTATAAATGATAAAAGGGTAAGGAAATGAGACAAACCAGGCCATCCTGCAGTGTTAGGATTTAAATATGCACAACCAAAGACTGAAAATGATGAGCTCACAGCTATATTCAGATCAACACCACCAGGAATCTGAGACAAAACTTCAAAGCACTGAAGTCAATCTGAGGATTTGAGCATGTGGCACACTCCCACAGTCCCAGAACTCAGAAAGCAGAGCCGCAGGCTCTTACAGCAAGCTTGAAATCAACCTGGAATATGCGAGACCCTCTCCCAAAGTAAACAAAACAAGAGAAAAATACAAACTGCCAATCCTGACAACCTGAGTGCAATTACATAGGACTCACATAGTGGAAGAGAAATGACTCTCCCCAAGTTGTATTGACATCTGTATGTACACTGTGACATGTATGAACATGAACATTTGCACATATAGCAGATAAAAAAAATACACTACTACTATCAATAAAAGAACCTGAAGTGTGGGAAAAGATGGCTCTATCAGTAAAGTCCTTACCTCATTAAGTTTAAGAACCTGATTTGATCCAAGTACCCTTGTAAAACAGTCAGGCAGGAGTTCAATCCCCAAGAGCCACACAACGAAAATGAGAAAACAGACCTTTTCAAAGTCATTTATTGATGTCCACACATGTCAAAATGTGTGCACCCTCCCCAAAACCCCCAAACTAAATCCCTATGCTCTGCTTAGTTTATTTACCACACACTGTGTTCTTTGTTAGTGTTCATCACTGCAGACTCTAAAGAAGGGACACTCCTGAGATCCTGACCAATACCACATAATGGCTCACATATGCTTCTTTTCTAATTCAATAGTCTTAGCCATTGAAGCCCAAAGTGGAAACAGGAAAATGCTTCCCTAGAAAACTCTACTTTAAGCCTGATCTATCACACAAGGGAAGCTGGGACAGGAGAACAACAGAAAGTTCAGAGCCGTCCTGGGATGCACAATGAATTCAATGACAGCCTGGGATAATAGCTAAATTCTGTCTTAAAACACAAAACATTTGTTTCAGAAAACAAAAAGTGGGGCTCATCTGCCATCCAATGGCTACCTTTAATGGTTTTCTGGGTGCTATCAAGTAAAACCCTCATTTCCATTACTACTTTATGTTTTATTAAGATTTCATTATCAGCTATCAAAAGATATTTTTTCTTTCCCCCATACTGTTAAGACAATTACATTTAAGCTACACACATCTGAAAGGGGTGCAGGAAGTTAAAAGATGTGTGGCCTCTAAAATATAACTCTACTCTTGATAGCATTTAGTAGAGTTAGTGATAGTCTACTGTCTTAAAAGCTTTTTGGGGTGAGGGTGGCTGCCTTTGGGGGCCAGAGGGGGGAAAAACAAATGAATGTACACTAACACTAACCAATAGAGCACAATTCCAAGTTTCCAGAAGTTTCTTAAGCAATCACACAGTATGCACTGCTGTTTGTTTTAATTTTTAAAGGGCACACTTTTTAAACATCTTTTTTCCTGGGGCTGGAGCGATGGTTCAGTGGTTTAGAGTGCTTCCTGTTATTTCAGAGGACTCCAGCTCAATTCTCAGCATGCATATGGTGGCTAACAAAAACCTGTAATTCTAATTCTAAGGAATCTAATGCCCCCTTCCAGCCTTCTAGAGCACCAGACAGACATAGACAAACAAGCACTATTGTTGCAGGAGATTTGTTTGTGTTGTTGCTCCAAGAGCACCAAAGGAGTCAGGGTCCACATTCAGCTGTCTGGGGTGGACCACTGAGTTTTCTGTCAGACACACAAGAGAAATAAGGAGGGGCCAAATGAGAGGCACAGATTTTTTGAGTGGGGAATTGTGGAGAGGAGTTCGCTGATCGCTTTCTCTATACCTCTGTCGATCTACCAGGTTTTACCCTGATATCTGACTTCTGACTATTTTATAATAAAACAATAAGTCACTTTATCTGGGACTAGATCATGCAGTGGGATTAGATCATGCAGTGACAGCCACCACAGTACCCCAGGTCACCAGGAAGGGCTTTTCCTGCTGCGATCACCCCACAACACAGTGTATATGGTGCACAGACATAGGAGTAGACAACACATCCATACACATCAAATGAATTAATTTAAAAACAAAATTTTGTGTATCTGTTCATCTGTGTGAACACTGGCATGGATGGAATTCAGAGGCTGGTCCTTGCTTTCTACTTTGTAAGAGATGTCTCTCCCAGTGCTCACCACAGTGTACAATAGGTTATCCATCTATGAGCTTCCCTTTGTCTAGGAGTGGAGAGACTGGCACTGTCTTTTTTTTTTTAATATATATAAGTTCTGAGGTTCAGAACTTGTACACAAACCGCTTTTATCCACCAAGTCTTCAAATGACATTCCTAACTCTTCAGTCATCATTTACATGCCTATATGCAAAAAGACATTTTCTGGGCAGCTTCACTGCTTTGCACATAACAGACAACTTACAGATATTTGCTGAGCACAAGAATCTAACATCTACCCAGAAAGACAACGTTAGGCTATCCGTGGGAGAAGACGACAAAGGCTATTAATATAAACCCAGGATCCTATTTGGACTACTAGGACATACGAGAGCATATTGACTTTTGGACTTGATAACAAGATCTCTTTTACACACTGATGAATTCAAACATGAATTGTCATGCAGGCTCTAATTTCAGACAAAGAACTGAGGAAGGTGTGTATATGTACTTACTATACTATTTTGTAGTGTTTCCAGGTGTTTGAAATTTCTCAAGAAAAAAAGACCTAGGTTCTTTATCTCTGAGTCAGTCTGACTCAGTACACTCATGGATGGAGACTGAAAGGCAAAGTCTGAAAACACTTCAGAGAAAAAGAAACGAGAAAAGCAGACATACTTCTGTGCTGCGACTGATGGAAGGAGTGTGTCCTGCTTCGTTCTGGAGAGTAGCTTCTACTGCTGAGACTGGAGCCAGATCTGCTGTGTGGGGAGTCCTTCCGGCCTACAGGTGACTCTCTGCAAAAAGGAGCGTCCCTTTTATGGGGAGACCGTTCTCTTGAATAATGGGAAGAGTAGAAACTTTTTCTTCTAAAGCCATCTCTCATGTCCCTTTGAAGGAAAAGAAAGTTAAGTTAATTATATCCTCTACATCTGAATACACAAATGGCAAAAGATCTGATTACAGATCTCTATACTAAAGTCTTGGCACCCTTTTATAACAGTGATGAACAGTTGAAGTCAGTTAACAAAGTGAAACTTCAGCAAAACCTGACTTAGAATGCACCACTTTCTCAGCCTGGAGTAGAACCAGATTATTAAGTACAAAGGTACTTTATTCTAAATTATGAAGAAACACTCTATACTAGTCCCAGAAATACCTAGGAATCGCAATTTAAAAAAAAAAACATACAAAAACAGATCAGAGCAGTCTCTTCTAAATATAGTATGTGATGGGCATCTCTCACCCAAAAACTCTGAGATATGAAACCTATATTCACTAGCACAACGCTCCCAAGATTTCCTACACTGCCACATTTCAAGAGTTCACACCAGGGATGTTCAACCCATAAGTTTATGTAAATGTTTCAAAAAAATCTGAAAATTACTTATTTCAAAAGCATCTCTAAAAGGAGAAACTCCACCTGTATATAATATTGACCTTTATCTCCAAACTTAATAGCTAGAGTGTTTTCATGGCTATTTGGGTGGAGAGGGCACTGGCCAACAATGCCACCAAAATCCTGTTAATACCCAAGAAACCAAAGTCATACAAACTAAAGAGCTCCATCTAACCCAAAAGTTGGCAATCGCCATCCTGTCTCTAGCTGTTAAGTGGTTACTCTCCAATCGTGTCCCCAGTGCACAGACTGCTATGAGGCCTGCCACCTTTATAAGTCACTGTGACTTTTGCAAATCCAACTTCTTTATTAATCAGTATCAATTCAAGTGAACCTATTAAAAAATGTTAGGCAGGGCTGGGGATAAGCTGAGTTTGCAGTGATCACTTTGCATGCATAACATTATGGTTTGATACTAGCACTGAAAAAAAAGAGAAACAAGAGGCAGGGAGAAAGAGTAGAAAAACTATACAGGAGAAACATCAAGGTAAATCAAACTTATTAAGTGGATCAAGATATAAACCTCTGTAAAATATAAAAAGAAAAAAGGAATGAAAACAAACCTGTAAACAGAATACTCAAAGAAGTTTAATTAATTTAAGCATACTTTCATTCAGTAACAATTTTTTGTCTGTTTATTTTTGTTGTTACTGTTTTGAGACAGGCAGGGTCATACTTACTCTTGGCCCAGGCTACTGTGTACAGCCATCTTCTGACTTCAACCTCCCATGTACTGACATTACAGGTGCCCACAACCATGCCTGCCAAGGCACAGTAGCTCATACAGACAAGTGCTGATACAAACCAAGAGCATCGATTTTTAGTTTATCTTCTTTTCCCAGTGCTAGAGATCAAACCCAGAGCTTTTTCTGAAAATAACTTTTAACTGATCAGTCCATACTACACAAGCAAGCTGATTGAAAGTTCAACTGAGCACTAGCTAATAAAGCCCAAAATACACCGCTCTACAGTAGCAATTACATTTCCCTAGTAAAAAGCAAAAGCATCTAAAGTTCATCTAAATGAACTCATATAAAGCACCAATACTGAAATAAAGCACTTCAGAATCCCAAGATAATTGAGTCAGGTTCACACCAACATCTCCAGTCAGCTATTAGATATTTACATATTCAGAACTGTACCGCAGACCCAATGAAGAACCAAATCTACCTCAGGTGTTACAGGTTCCTGCTGTCACTCAACTCTGAGGACAGGAAGAAAAGCTGACATTAAACACATACACACAATACATGTAGACGCAATCAGGAAGAGCTGTATGGAGAATAAAGGGGGATTTATGGATTCCAGGGAAGAAATAGTGGTAGCTTAGAAGGAATGGTGACTCTCTAGCTAAGCATGAAACCCAGGATGCTGATTCTCAGACTTCTACCATGACTTACTAGTGAAATGAGAAGAGCCCACACTGAGAAATGGGGATGGGCTAGGATGGTTGATCCACATCAGGATCATGCAATACCTAGGCAAGCAATCAAAGACTAAGCAGTCTTAGGTTCTGAAGAGACTCTGCACTGTCACTTTACACTTGCATACAACAGAGCAGGATTTAGACCTGTGAGCACGGACGGGCAGGAAAAGGAAGCTTACTCTAAGGACAACGAAGAGGGTCTACTGAAATTTAAGGGCCCTTATTGAATGCTCAGTGGGAAGAGAAGGAACAGGATCCTAATCAGGGAAAGGTACCTGCTTCTTCCTTTGAAAACACGAACTACTGAGCTAGAGTTTCCAAATCCTAACACCAGAGGGCAGTCAAACAAAGCACAGCTCAAATGAGCAGTTAGCTTTTGGCCACTTCACATCAACCCCCTGCTACCCACCAACCTCACAGACAACTAACTGGCAAGTCAGTAATTTGTCAGATATACAGGTATGACTATGCACATTACTTGATAGGCACTGTGGAGAACTGCCTGGCTCTAGGGAAGTTTAGCATTTCCTCAGGATCTGTGACGGGATTAATAGTAAATGTCCAAAGTGGCATATATGAACCAGTAAGGTTTTCTGGGGGAGGGCAGTGGCAAGGATGGGTATTTGACATCCACCTCATGACCACAGTCCATCATCCAGGGAAGTCTGAACAAGAACTCAAGGCCAGGACATGGAGACAGGAGCTGAAGCAGGCACCGTGAAAGAATGTTGCTTACTGGCTAGACCCTCATGGCTTGTGGGCCTGTTCTCTCTCTCTCTCTCTCTCTCTCTCTCTCTCTCAAGCTTTCAGTTTTTTCTTTTTATATTGGAAATAGATTATTCAAGCAGTATATTCTGAGTACAGTTTTACTTCCCAATGACTCCCAGATGCTCCCCACTTCCCCACCCACCCAAATTCACACACCCTTTCTCTCTCATTAGAATACAGACGCCTGGTGAGATAGCCGGGCGGTGGTGGCGCACGCCTTTAACCCCAGCACTTGGGAGGCAGGGGCAGGCGGATCTTTCCGAGTTTCAAGGCCAGCCTGGTCTACAAAGCTACACAAAGAAACCCTGTCTTAAAAAAAAAAAAGTAAGATAAAATAAAAACAAAACAAACCAGAATAGGACAGAACAAACAGGATTTTTAAACCAAAGAGAAATTACAACACATACAGATAATGAGATACACACATTAACACAAAATAGGAAGCCAAACATAAGCAAAAGGTCTGTAAGGTTAGAAAAAGAAAATGCTCAAAGCATTGAGAAAGAAACAACAAAAAACTAAAAATACCACTGAATTCATTTTTGTGTTGGCCATTTTCTGATGGGCACAAGGCCTGCCCTTAGGGTTTGTTTCCCCAGTGATGTTCTTTGGAGAATACTAATTTTTCATTTGCAGGCAGTTATCAACTGGAGATAGCTAAGGGTTAGGGGTGGGGACTTATAACTTACTTTCCTCTCAGCACTGGGACCCCGTCTGGCTTAGACATGTGCAGACCCTGTGCGTGCTGCCACAGTCTCTGTGACTTCATATGTGGTATGTCAGTTGGTTTCTTCTGGCCCCCCTGACTCTTAAAACTGTCTCCTCTTCCATAAAGCTCCCTGAGTCCTGACGGAAACGATTTCATGAAGACATGCCATTTAGGACCAAGTGTGGCAAAACTAACTCAGGACTTTGAGTAGTTAGGGTTCAGCCCACCGCACCACATAAAGCTGAGTAACAGCACACGTGTACAAGGTGTAGGCAGGAGGATCAGAATGGCAAGACAAGCCTGACAATCAGAGTTCGATACCCAAGAACAACATTGTACAGAGAACCGACTCATAGTTTGTCCTCTTACACCCACTTGTATACTGTGGCAGGAACACACCATATTCACACGCACAAAAAATGAATAAATCTGTATTTTTTAAAAAAATACATCATTCTCAGCTACTTAGTTTGAGGCCAGCGTGATGGGATACATGTCACACACACTCTCTCTCTCTCTCTCTCTCTCTCTCTCTCTCTCTCTCTCTCTCTCTCTCTCTCACACACACACACACACACACACACATACACACACACTCACACACAAGTAATAAACTCAAACACTGATCTAGGTATTTCAGCAAAAATGAGAGTTAATCAACACTGTGTGTAGTAGGAATTAAATGAGTCAAATATAAAGCAACCATAACTAAATAAATAAGTGAAGCCAGTCAGGGCTACACAGTGAGACCCTATCTATAAAATAAAATATAAATAGGTTAAATAAATGTTAGCAATTTTAACAGCCCAGTATGTCCATATAATCAATGTGTGGTACTTGAAAATCAACTCAAGATATTTTATATTACATGTTTTCATCTTAAATCCTTTTTTTTTTTTTCTTTTTTGGTTTTTCAAGACAGGGTTTCTCTGTGGCTTTGGAGGCTCTCCTGGAACTAGCTCTTGTAGACCAGGCTGGTCTCAAACTCAGAGATCCACCTGCCTCTGCCTCCCGAGTGCTGGGATTAAAGGCGTGAGCCACCAATGCCCAGCTTCATCTTAAATCTTGAAAACCCTGGGTAATATATTTTCCAGTTAAGGAATACTTCTATTTAAATTAGTCAAATCTCAAGTGCTTAACAATATGGCCAGAGATTTGCATCCACAAGCAAAGAAAGCTCATCAGCTTCACATCACGCAGAGGGATAAGTATTGTGTAAAGAAGTTAAGAAACCAAAAAGCAATGACAGAAAATGTAAGAGACTTAAGGAAACTTCTTACGAAATACTGCAAATGCTGGGAGAAATCTACGTTTAGGATCTAGGTCATGTGACCTGTCTGTCTGTCTGTCTGCAAAATATTGGGGGAAACCAGGTTATCAGAAACCTGTACTCCAAATGTCAAAACAATGTTTTTCTTTAAAAGGTTGGGAGAGAGAAATTTGTACAGAAAGGACCTAGGGTTGACCTTGTTTTGATGGTAGGTGCTTACCTTCTGTGAAAGGTGAGCAAAAAAGCCATCTTACAAAATGGGAACTAAAAATCCAACACACAAGAATCTAGTAAAAAAAAAAGGGGGGGGAGAAAACG